AATTTAGTATTTCTTGGGTCACTTTATAATGGCATATTTTAATCATTTTAAGCAGCCTACTAAGTTGCACATCTATTACTGGCATGGTAACACGATAGTTGTGTTTAGTCGATTAGTTAAGCTCACGTCCGTTGTTATGGTTTATTAACACAAAAAATCCTCTCCTTAATAATAGAGGACGGTTTTTTTCTGAATATTTTAGCTAAAGAATTAGATTTGTTACCGTATATCTAATTTAAAGCCTTTTTATTATTTTTTATTTTATAATTATATAGTTTATACCTACTTTACTTGTTATTTATAAAGTTTATTATTTACGAACGGCATTGTAAGATCCACAAGAAGTGCACCAAAATCTAAATAAAATTAAATAAAACGTATATAAAAATAAAAAATAAACTTTTTAAAATATATTATGTTTTGATCAACTTTCCATTTCTATTGCTAAGAATTTCACGACCAAGACACGATGAAATGTACTGTACAATAATGCTAAATGTTCAACTGGGTAGTGATTTTGACAGTTATAAAATTCTAATTTAATTTTCCATAAGAATTCTTTATCTGTCAATATAAAAAGCACGCCTCGTCATAAAATTTCCAAAAGAGACACAGAGGTATATGCATTTTTTATAAATGATTTGGTGATTTTACAAAAACTGATTATTTGGATAAGTCATATCTATATAGAGTTCTAAAAATCAACTCCAGTTGCAATATTTTGCCATATAGTCGTTATCCCTTGGGTTAAATTTGAAACAATCAACACAAATTTATTTGAAATTTAAAAATCTTAAAACAGTCAAACTTCGATCATTTGTAGGTTATATGTACTTGTAACACATTAATTACGGCTATATATTCTGTTCTCATAGGTATTTCCCATTAGAAATGTTTTTTATAACCATAGCGGTTAGCCAAGAAAAAATATATACACGGTAAATAAAATCAACTTCTAAGCAAATAGAACAAAAACACGAAATGCACTTAAGGCTTTATATATAGAATAAGAAACACAAAAAATCACTCGAAAAACCAAAAGCGTTTTTTATATTTAATAATACATCAGTCGGTAATTGCCAAGTATAATATATTCAAAGAGACGATCTTTCAAATCATAACATGACGTTGTGTTAGATCAACTTTTCTCGAGCGATTTAATACGTTGCTGCTAATAAAACTGGTATAGGAAGGAATATCAGGGTTGTGTAAATACAACTACTTTTTGGTTATAAACGTAATAAATTAATATACAAGGTATATCTAAACTTTTGAATTATTTCATTAATCGACTTACTTCAATTTAATTCGCGAGTACTGTAGAACAGTTTAACAGAATGTATGTACATAAAGTATATATACGTGCGAAAGAGAACAAAAAACTTCGTATCAGTAACTACAGAAAATTCGTTTCGAAATAAAATTATTGGCAAATACCAATTGTAGTTAATTCGTAGATACAAATTGTAATTTCGAAAATACAATTATTACAATTCGTAAATTTCAATTATTGTATATCCTTAAGGATTTACCCTTAACTCTCGCTCCATTATATCACCTTTCAGTCTCGTATATAAGAACACCCTTATAACGTTAAGAATTGTTAGTAATTGTAAGAATTAAAAACAATTACACTTTATATTCACAATTATTACAATCAAAAATTGTGCAACCAATTATTCATGTAAAATTCGTATCTAAACCCTACCTATAAATGACAAAATTTAAACGTTTATCTAAAAGTGTAGTGTTTATTTGTAGAATGTTGTATAAGGCAATGTACAGACCAAGCGAAGTACTTTACGAAAACCCAACCCTAATCGTGGTCTGCGTTCTATAAATGGGGCAGTTACCTTACGTAATATTTATGCAAAATATAATAACCTCTTAGACTCGGCAATTAATGGATTTAATCGCATTAAAACAAAAAAAGATCCTGCTGAATTAAACGACTCTCGAATAAGATAATAATTGGGGATTTCGCTGTGTGCTGGAGGTGGATAGGTATTTCTGTTGATATCTTACGCGAAGCTCATGTTATGTTGCAAACTATTTGAAAAGATATTATCACCGAGTCAAGAATGCTTGTAGAGGAAGTAGAAGGGTAATTAGATTCCACTTAATCTTCTCTCGAGTTTATCAAAGATTAAGAAAACATTTTAAAAGGTATTTTTTCTACGTTTTTATATAAAATATTTTTCTTACCCGAGGCACTATTCGATAAGACAAATGAGGATTTGCCTATGTATACATTAAATATACGTTTACGTACTGTATGTTTAGTGTAATTACGGCTATTTCCGATATACATAAACACTTTAATTATTTGATAAAATAAACTATATCTACGGGGTGTAAATGAATTTGCGAAAAAATATCGAAGGCAGTATCTTTGTAAAAATAGACTTTCGTGCAGGTAGATCATGTATAGACTAAGTATTGGTTAAGGCTCCTAGGTTAGGGCTAATCGAATTTATCGAGAATGGATTTGAGCAGAAACTAGTTATCGGGGTTACTTTCGTCGATTTATCTGCCGCGTATGAGACTGTCAACCATGGAAAACTTATTTCCAGAGTGCTGAGTATTCTATATTTTCAGAGTATATGAGCGTGGCGATTATATCAACTGACTTTTAGAGAATTATTGTATCTATATTACAAAACAGGAGATTCTACGTTATGCTACAAGGGAAGAAGAGCAGATGGAGAAGAAAAAAGAATGGCCTTCCTCAGAGAACTGCGCTTGCTTCGATGATGTTTAATATATATACCAATGAGCAACCAACTTCTAGACACTCCAGAGTCTTTATTAACGCGGATGAGTTTGCAATAGTTGTCCAAGCCAACAACTTCAAAAATGTCGAGCAGAGCCTAGAACAAACCTATGAAAGCATCATATACACAAACTCAGCTCTTTCAAACCCAATCCTTCTGAAACCCAGCTTTGCGCTTTCTGCTTGGGCACTAGAAGAGGCGCTCACTTACAGGCACCATTGCCAAAAAACATTAACTCACCACAATAGAAATGCTGAAAAAGCTCTGTGGAAGTGATGGGGCGCCAATTCGGCAACAATAAGAACAATAGTAAGTAGTAAGTCTTATGTTTCTCAGCCGGTGAGTATCGATGTGATTTAATGAGGCGTGCAGAGTAACTACTGGCTGCATGAAGGCTGGATATATTGTACAAGGCAGCACGTGAACTTAAGTATACGGAAAGATTCCGGAATCGTTTGACTCGTCGATTCATCCATTTTATGCAGCTGAAACTATTCCTAGGCGACTGAAATCTCGTCGAGGTTTCCGAAGTAGGGTAAACGTAGAGTGCCAGACGAGTTCACCCTACGTCAATCCCCACGAACGGGAATCCACTTGGATTAGAAAACCTAGTAAAAGCTCCAGTAGAAGCCAACCTAGTGAAATGGGGTATAAATCAGAATGGAGAAACTTAATGTGAATGCGGCGAAGAACAAACCATGGAGCATCCTACTAGATGCAGAGACTGCCCTTATACTTGCAGTTCTCTCTCTTAGGCGGAAATTATTTAATCTTAAAGTGTCCGGGCACGAAAAAGTAAAGCAAGATTAAACATAATGGAGGTTTTACGTAAAACATTTTGATTTGGTCATCTCCGTACATTTATTTGCTTGTAAAAGTAAACCAAGTTTAAGCAAAACAGTTTACAATAAAAAAACTGACATATGCTTTATGGATATCATAAATGATTTGGTGATTTTACAAAAACTGATTATTTGGATGATTAGTATCTATATAGAGTTCTAAAAATCAACTCGAGTTGTAATATTTTGCTATATATTTTTTATCCCTTAGGTTAAATTTGAAACAATCAACACAAATTTATTTGAAATTTAAAAATCTTAAAACAGTCAATTTAAAATCTGTTTTGCTTCAGCAGATATTCTCGGCACTGAGTACCTAATCGAAAAATAAATTCATTAATAATGTACAGTAGATTAAGATGAACATTGTGATTTTGGTTCGCCCTGTAAAATCAAAAAACTATGTATGAAAGCAAAAAAAACCATGAAAAAAATACCTTTATTTTTGAAAAAACAATTATTCTCGAATTTTTTCGCAATTATTTTTTTATACCCGATATAATCTAATATTTATATTTAAGCATAAAATATGTTTTTTAAAAGTTTGGAATAATTACACACAATAGATGTATGGTTAAGTCGCCACATATCAATCTACTACAGTACAATTTTTAACTCAACTGGAATGCTGCTCCGTGATACAATTGCAAATCATAGGTAATTATTGCCGTTCGGACTTACAGTTATAAAAAAAGTTCCTATGTTCGCAGAGCATTAGCAACACCTAGTATATTAATTCTCCTAACGGTCAACGGAACTGGGATATGGCCAATTTGCACATCTTTCCAAATGACCTAGCATGTGAAGACCATTATGACTTAAAACATTAGATATCTGCACACCAACGATTATTTGCTAATATGAAGAATAATTATGGTTCGCGCGGTTCGAGTCGAGCCTTCCCTAATGTCACACTAATGACAGGGGACTAGATAAAAGAATAAGAAAAGTATATTACGTTAAAATTAATGTCCATATAAGCTTTTAGGTAATAGATGGTTAAAGAACGATTATACGTAAACCTATTTTTAGATATGTACGTTTGCCCAGTGAGAAATTTGCTATCAATAGATTATATGAAAATATAACTTGAAGGATACCACATTCATTATCTGTTAACTTAGACAATTTGTTACAAACTTTAGTTTTCTGAGACCTGTTCGACAAAAAATCAGAGAGTCATTTAAGAGCCATATCTTTCAGTTCATATAATATTAATTTTCTGATCAATGCAACAAGGCAAAACCTGTGCAAAGTACAGAGACTGGTATGCATCTGCACCACAGGTGCCATGAGAGCATTCCCAACAGCAGCAATGGATTGTCATCCTATACCTAACACCACTGCACATTGTCGACAATGATTAGAATGGTTAAGCCTCGTTTTGACGGTGATAGTACTATCATGATAGTACTCTCATGATAGTCACCTCGATTGTTCCATCATGAAAGTGAGGTGTTTACACGTATTTTAAAAAATATCGGGATCGTATATAGCAAAATGGCCGACAGGGCAAAAATTTGTGCAGTAGCAGCTGTTATTGGTGAAATAATTAATAAAATTCAACGTAGAAAAAAAAAGGAAAACGAAGAAGATATGGGTGAGAAAATGGATAGCAAGAAGAATTACACTTGGTGCTTCTGAAAGACTTCTGAACGAACTTGCTGTAGAAGATCCGAAAAGTTTCTTAAACTTTTTACGCATGAATGAGGAAATGTTTAATACGTTACTAAATAAAGTAAGTATAGGCCTAATTCCAAAATAATCAAAAGTTATATTATTCACTAGGTACAGATAAATTTATTTATTTATAGGTTTGTAGCAAGATAGAAAAGAATTATACTGTTATGCGAGAACCTATATCAGCAAAACTAAAACTTCAAATAGCTTGTCGATACCTTGCCACTGGCGACTCATTGGGATCATTGCAATACCTTTATCGAGTGCCAAAGTGTACTATAAGCCAGTTTTTACCATATGTTTTTGATGCCATATACGAAGTATTAAAAGAATATGTTATGGTAGGTAAACAGTAACTTTATTTACAAAATTCCAATCTCAAACAAAAAAAAATACAAAAAATGTTCAAACAAAATCAACAGAATATTCTAAGTTTTAAGTAAGTATCTATTTTAATTGAAATCAACACCGGCGTCATCACTTTCCGCCCAATTCTTGAAATAATTTGTTAATTGCATCTGACCCTGATGCCGAAATTGATATTGTTCATTTACCCCTGAAGAAGTTGAGGAGTCTGTATTGCCTTGTAAATAACTTTCTGAGCAAATAGTCTCCTGTGCTTCATGGGAAAATAAAGGATTATTGCCATTTTGATTTTGCACTTCATTTGGAACCTGCTGATAATGATATCGTTTATTTTCCCCTGAATAACTTGATAGTTCTGATGTATCGTCTTGTCGATACATTTCTGATGAAGAAGTAGTGGTCCGTGTTTCCTTGTCGAATGAAGTGTTGATTACATTTTGATTTCTTAAACAACGCAGGCGAACAGTTGTTATAGATTTCTGGATATCCTCCTGAAGTAGTAGTGCTTCTTGTAATGGAAGGCACTTAAGTTGGGAAGAAACATGTTGTCCGAATGCATCAAATTCATTGGAGGCAACAGATGCTACTTCTTTTAAAGCTTTAACAGCCTGGTCCAACGATTCATCCTCCTTACTTTTTCCATTGTTCGCGAGTCTTTTCCGAGTCTTTGTTTTTCTCGCCGAATTAACAGAGGGGGTTTCTTCATAATCTCTACTAGGCTCTTGTGAAGATTGATTTGGCGTTATCGGCTGTGCATTAAGCTTTTTAAAACATGATTGTGCCTCTCTTGAATTTGTAAAAGGGTTTTTTTCACACTCCCATGTCTCTTGTGTCGAGTCTTCATTTACTATTGAGGGTGCATTTCCCTGGATTTCTTCTGAAATTTGTTCTGGCAACATCTACAACAAAAAGCAAGATAAATAATATAATAATAGTACATTACCTTATAGGCTGAGAATTTTTTATTATAGCTGAGCCCAGAATTCACGGCCGAGCCGCTAGAAGTGGGCGAAGCAAATAATATAAGATTCGCAGCCCTGTTGTATATACACTATTTTTTTAAGAAATAATATAATAAAATAATATAAAAGAATGATTTTAATTGCTTTAATAAATGTGTTTTCATTTTCAGATACCAAAAACTGAAAACGACTGGAAAAAAATTATAAATGGGTTTGAAACTTGTTGGAATTTTCCGCAGTGCATAGGAGCAATTGATGGAAAACATGTTTTAATTCAGTGCCCTCCTAATTCCGGTTCTCAGTACTTTAACTACAAAAGAACCTTTAGTATTGTACTACTGGCCCTGGTGGATCATAATTATAATTTTATTTTTATTGATATTGGGAGTTATGGCAGCATTTCCGATGGTTCAATATTTGCTAAATCCTCTCTTCATCAAGCGCTTGAAAGAAACATATTGAACCAACCAGACGGTTCCGTTATATTAGGAGACGAAGCATTTCCACTTAAGCCATATTTGATGAAACCCTATCCTCGACGAAATCAATTAAGTATTGCCCAGAAAGTATTTAATTATAGACAATGTAGAGCCAGACGTGTAGTAGAAAATGCGTTTGGCATAATGTCTTCGCGTTTTCGTATATTCAGATCTCCAATATTACTTGCTCCTACCACAGTAGTAAAATTAATAAAAGCTACATGTGCCTTGCACAACTGGATAAGAAAAGTGGGAAATGAAGTAACAGTAACAGCTGATATTGAAGATCACGTGACAGGGCGAATAATTCCTGGAAATTGGCGCAATGTTCCTAGACAAAATGGTCTGGCTGATGTAAGAGCAGCTTTGCAGCGAAATTATTTGCCAGAAGCTCGACAAAAAAGAGAAGACTTAACTAACTATTTTACAGGGCCAGGAGCACTCGATTGGCAATACAAAATGATAGAGTAGTAATTGCGAAGATTCATCCAAATAATGAATTATCATAAATTTCTTCTAATATTTTATAATTTAGGATATGTCAAAAAATATATAAGTAATATAATTTGATCAGCTAAGGGTGTTCAATATCTTAAAAGTCCTCATAATTCTTATAATTCCTTAAAAAAATCCTAATAATTCCCACCAGCTTGTGCAAATAATAATTCCTAGGTGGTTTATCTCTCAAAATCTAACATACAGTATGTCCGGTAATAGGGTAGACAAGAGGGCAAACGGAGCAAAAATTTAAATTTTCAAGGAAAAGACATTCTTTAAAATAAGGGTATTTTATTCTTGTAAAAAAAATTGAAATTTTAACTTTTGGGACACCCTGCGTATATTTTTTTATTTTATCGATAATCGTATTTTTTTGGAAAGCAAAACTTTTTATAAAGAATATCGTTTCCTCGGAAAATAAAATGTTTGGTCCGTTTGTCTACCATCGCCGGACATACTGTAGCGTGTCCCTTGAAAGTAGCTCACCCTTATAACTTTTATTTTTTACCTATTATAACCTTTTAATGTCTGATATATGGTATCAGACATTAAAGGGCTATAATAAGTAAAACATAAAAGTTATAAGGGTGAGCCACTATTAATAAGGGATACCCGGTATAGCAGTATTTTAGTTAGCAACATTCGAAAAAATCCAACAATTCAAAACTATGATCCATTTACTTGATCAACCTGTATGAAATAAAGCTGAAAATTAAACAAAACTTACCAAATTAGATTGTGACTCATTTTCTCCCAAATTTTGTCTCAAAAAACTGTCAGCTACGTGAAACCATGAGAGTTTTGGTTTATACACAGTATCGGTGCCCGATCCAGTTCCCATGGATTTCCTTATTTTAGCAACTTCTTGATTATACGTGCATCTAATGCTCCTTATTTTCTGCCTGAGTTCTTTTATTGTAGAGAGTCCTGATATGGGTAGCAGAAGTTCTTCTGCATGATCCCTCTTGACTATGTTTTTGAAATCGGGGGAACTTTTTTTCCATAAACATGGAAACCTTTCATATTCTTCCAAAAATTTTATCGTGTCAAGTCGCTGGCTGCTCATTTTTTTACCGAATTTTAATACACAAAATTGTGCACCTCTTCAAAAAACAACAACTTATCACGAAAGTACTTGCAACTATCTCATCAAGCGAGATAGTCCGAGAGCACTGTCGCGACAGCATGATAGTAACTATCGGGGTATTTACATGGTGATAGTTTATGCGATAATGTCTCTCATGACAGCAACTATCGCATAATCTATCATCGTGAAAACGAGCCTTTATTGACGGAAATAGTACTGGAAGAATTTTCAAGTCATGGGTCTTGCAACACCCTCAAAAAAAATGCCACTTCCAGTGGATATAAATGTAGAATATTTAGGAGGCGAGTTAATCACCGCAACCTTACTGATCTATTGTGACCAGTGGATGACATACCAAGAATCTACAACTTTGAGAAACATCTTACTGTAATATTGAGTAATAAAAAGGATTGAAAGGGAGAAATGTTTGCTGCAACCATATAAAAAACAATACCATAACGTGGCATATAATGTTTCCAAAACCAAAGCAGGGACACGGACAGGAGTATTTGGGCCGAACACTAAATACTCCGAATCAATGGGCACCTACCCCAGCATCCTTCAGGCATAAATCTACGCTATCCAAAGATGCGTACAATTTATCTTAAAGAAGTAACCATCAATTCGAAGTTGGTCAAAAAATGTCTAGAGAAACTGAACAAATTAGGCGAATAAAATGAAGACCTCCTACTCTGAGTGCCCGCTCACCAAGGGATAGAAGGCAATAAAAGAGCAAATGATCTAGCTAGAAAAGGAGCGAACACTCTACTAACTGGACCAGAACCGTTCCGTTTTCGACGCGGAATAAAGCAACTAAAGGCGGAACTGAGGAACCTGGAAGGCCCCATCCGTAACCTGGAGTGGGAGTCCTCCAACGGTCTAGGACAGTCGAAAAAGTTCCTCAGAACTTACGACCGAGAAAAATCAAAGATTTTCCTTGATTCAAGTAAAAACAATCTTCGGATTGTCACGGGGTTTCTAACAGGATACTGTCTCCTCAACGAACACCTCAGTGGGCTGTAGCTGAGGAACAACGGCGAATGCAGATTCCTTGGAGAAAATGGGGCAACACCAGAACACCTTATCACTGAGTGCGCCGAGACGATGACCGTTCGTGCCATGAACTTACGGCTGGTGTCGAGGATGGAGAGCTGACCTTTGTAGAGCCGTCTCAGATACAGGTTTTTGTTAAAACCCTGAGACTGTATGATAAGCTATAACTCCTTATTACTCAAGAAAGGGACACACACTAGATCTGTAAGCTCGCGGTGATTAAGTGCCAAACATTCTGTATCCAAAAAAAATAAGAATGTTTCTGTCTCAGAAGCTCTAATATAAAATTATTTTACCACTAACTCTATGAAAAGCATTATCTAATTAAATATTAGAATTAAGTACGATATCAATCATATTAAGAGTGTAAGTCAAAGATGTTATTAATGAATATAATTTTCTTTAAAAAACTAATTTATTCAAATTCAATAAATTTGGTTTTATATAGCAATAAAAGTGTTTCTTTAAACACATTATTACCACAGTTTTATAAAAATCGGCATAATAAAATTGATAGTTTAAGCGTGAGAAAGATCGTTGACAGTGTTAAAGCAGTTTGTAACTATTACACTATCTATTTAAATAATTATAGTCGTTTTCAATTAATAGCAGCTTCCATGTTCAGAACACGCATTCCAGCAACTTTTCTATAATACTTTGAATTTTAAGAGTTGAAATGAATATTTTCTTATTAAAAATACTAAGATATAAAAATAGTTTGAGCCACATTATATTGTTCGAAACCAACAGATAAAATATCAGTGCTTATTTATAGGAGAAGTGTCTATTGTGTACAATCTTTAACCAATTAGTACTGCATTGGTATCCTGTACAAATATTACAGAATTTTGTTAATGCCTGTTATCTTTTCACTATGATAATTTTATAACCTATAACTATAAATTTAATAATGTAGGGACCGTTTCGGCATTCTAATACCAATAGAACAAGTTTCAATAAATTCATGAGATTAGTACGGCACCGAATACTTAACACAGGAATAAACGAATTGAGAAGAATTTCAAGAGATCAAGTTTTATGTAAATTTAAAAAGAATTTGGTCACGGACTTTAAGTTTAGGAAACTTCATATAACCAAATTTAGTAAACACAAAGATATTTAGTGATACAAGTAACTAACAGAAAAAATTAATTTAAAGTCGATTAAAAAAAAATAAACGTAAAGAACTTATGAACTGAGATAATGGATGGCCAACAAATCTACAGAATGGTGGAGAAATTCACCAGTGCAGAGACAGGTAAAATAGTTTGTAGTAGAACATGCGGAAAAATTTACAGCAGACCTGATAAGCAAACACAGGAAAACTTTCAACACTATAGTGGGTCTACTAACTACTAAGGGCATTATAAGCTTAATAAGCATGTAAAGGTGATAGGATTGACGGATAAAGTCATGTTTAGATTTTGTTAATTTAAAAAAAAGGCAGAACAAATTTTAAGTCAGTGCTACATCCTGGCAAATATGCGGTTGTTTGTATTAGGTAATGATAAGCTATTGACAAAGAGCTATATTTAGGATTCAGTCTCCAAGATATTAAAATTTTTGAAAATGATAGTACCGGAGAGTAAACAGATATGAGAAGATCGGAGTAGAACAGGATAGTAATCTAATCCAATCTAATGAACAGAGATAATGGTCATAATATTTTAACTCCTTTTGAATGTTAATCACCATCTGATGATAATAACAGTTAATAAAACGTGCTTTCACGATGGTAAAAATATTTGGCGTAGTGTAAAAGTAAAGTAAAGTAAAGATTTCAGTTAACGTCTCCTTTTTGCTACCAGGACCAATTTGGACGGGACCTACTTTGTTTACGCGGAATCCGAACCGCGGTCTTCGGCCATATCATGGTCATATAGCATGGCCTACCGACTTGGCAAGTGTCTAAATCGACTCTTACTCACGAGATATCCGATCTCATCCGGCCTCGAACCGGCGTGAATGAGCAGTGTGTGTCAATAGATTTTACACTTTTGCCTTTATTGGACAACAGCCGATACAGAGTTGCCAACCGGTCACCCGTCCATCCACTAGTATCGCCATACGTCGCTTAACTTCGGTGTTCTAATGCGAACCGGTGTTTCGACGTAGCTGGGCCGTTGCCTTTTAGGCGTGGTGTGATATTTATATGTGTAATATATTACTAATTGACAGAAAACCAGATCATTTTTAGACAGATTGGATTTTTTAAGGTTAATAATATAATTATTTTATAGCGTGATTGCCGATTCAAACAATTCGGCCAAATTATAATATTGAAAGTATTTCGGGTGGATATTTATCAGTGTGATGATAATTTCTTACCGAGCACCAATAAAAAAATTAAATAAAAAAGTACGAAATGGACCATTACGTTTTTCTTTAAAACTTATTTAATGTCTTAATTACTTCTCAAGGTACTGATTAAACCATCCGCTATTAATAACACGAAAAGTTGCCCACACCAAAACCTGGGGCGACGACCAAAAATATTTTCGATTCGATGGTGGGCCGCGATTTATTCTCGATCGGAAAAAAATCGACCAGAAATCAGCTTCTCTCCATCTTTCTCGCAGTTTCTCTATCTGTCTGTCGTCAGTCCAACTCTCCAAACCGTTTTTTAGCAATTACTTTATTTTATTTATTTTAAACTACTCCTTACAAACACCAAAAGAATAGTTACAGGTAAGGGACTTAAATCTAAATTAATTAACTTATCAAAACTAAAACTACTGTACAATGAATGCAACAAGTAAAAAAAAAAATTGGTTGAATTGAAACTAAAATATACAAAGTAAAAAAAAATGTGCAAATTATCGAGATATTTATTTTATAATAAAAATTAAATATTGTTACAAACCATTTTCAAACAGTTATTAAATAAACTTAGAACATTTGTGTTGTAGGTGCATTTCACATTATCACAATTCTGAATTACATTGCTTGTGATAGTTTGGGGATGAACTCGAGGTAAGTAGAACTGATCGGTGTTGAGATTTGAACAGAGGTTTTAGGTGTTGTTGAAACCCGGTCTTTTGGGTGTATACTACACCC